CACGCACCCGCGCTGCCATGAGGTTGTCAACGCCGCCAGAAATGTTCGTATTTGTCTACGTAGTATAGTCACTGACACCTCGTTTATAGGACACGCGACCGGCACTGCTGTCGGCCGTGCTGGCGGGCGCCACCGAGATCGTCTCGATGCTCTTGGCGTCGTTTGGTGATGTGATTGATGTGAACGCCATCTCCAACGTACAACAAACTCAAATCTTCCGGATCAAAAGGAGTGAATAAGCACTAGGTCACGGAAGTGCTGCAATGGCCGCTCATGGAAGCGACTATGGAAGGGCACAAGGAGATTGCGCTGCGCTTGCTCGATCACCCTTGCATCGACATCAACCTCATGACTCACCATGTTGGGAGGTTTGCTCTTCTTCCAAGGGTCTCAGATGGTAATGTAGGGTTCGACAGTCCTCCTGAGTGCGTGCTGGTTTGATTGTCTACCTGTCGTCGAGCGATTGCTGGCGATGCCAGGCGTCGTCACAAGCATCGTGACCAAGGTCGGAGCTGCGTCTCCCACCAAATGTTCTAATGCGTTTTTATAGTCGGGTCGCACGCCCTTTACGTGCGCCTGCTGCGGAGACCACGTGACCATTGTCCGCGTGCTGTTGGACCAGAACGCTATCCCTGACCTCAACGTCCAAGACCATGTTGGTCATTTTTCACTTCGGTCACTTTGACCCTGCTTACTAGGCCGGTATGTCGGGCTTTATGTGGCTCTGCGTCCACAACCAAGTCGACCTCGTCGACGAGCTCAAGGACAAAGTTGATCTTAACCTCCGTTGCACCGTACGTTCTTACCACCTTGTGCCGCTTCAAGACAAATGCTTAGAAAGGGTTGACAGCCCTCGACTACCTCAGTCGCCATCTCTCGCATGGTGCGAACGACAACGCGACGCTTGTAAATCTGACGGAGAGCATTCTTGCTCTTGGTGGCACATTTGGCGTACGACGCTGTACGACTGCTCGTTGGTCCTGAGAGCATTCCTAGACCCGAGCTCAGTCCATAATCAGTCGTCGAACGTGTCCAGCCGACGAGGTCAACCTGGCTGAACTCGCCTTTTACATGCGCTTTGATGCTCTCGAACAAGCCATTCGCAACGGCGCGTTCGCGGGCGACGTCAACCGCCTCTACAAGGTACAGCATCGGCATGCGTTCTGTCCTGACGCCATGGTATCTCTACTGTAGCAACTTACTGCTCTGCACATCCTCAGCACAGGATTTGGCGTCACACCAGAGGATACGTCTCTGGAGTACGAGCCGCGTGTGGACCTCATCGAGTGTCTTCTGACGCAATATCCGTCCATCAACCTCGAGATCACACAAACCGTATCTTCCGTTCTCCATTCCAACTGAGGCTTACATCTCACCAGGGCGGGTACACGGCTCTTGACGCAGCCGTGAGCCGCACCCGTTCGAGAGTGGTCGAGCTCCTTCTGGCAGCAGGGGCGTCCATCGAGCGTGTACGTCCAAACCCACCTTGTCACAGGCATCCTGACTGAAAAACCTAGAGCGGATTACCTCTCTTGTCCTACCTCGAGGCGAATCGAAAGGACTCAAAAGCCGCCGCCGCCATCACGGCCATGGTCCACGCCGAGGACGCGCGCCGCAAGGCCTACCCGCTCCACGTCCTCTTGGGCTTCAAGCGCTACGA